GGGGGGGGGTGGTGGTTTACGAGGGCCTTTAATGTGCTGATGGGGTGGGTGGGGGGCTGAGCACGTATGCGTGCATGCCTTTCATGGACATGGTGCGGGTTTAACTCCTGAATTGACGTACCCCTTTGCTTGGGATTGTGATTCTGCGTTTAACCGCATGGATGAAGTGAGTCCAGATCCAAGCCTGACTAAAGCAGAGCTGACCTGCAGGTGGCGCTCAGCCGATTAGGCTCCTACACCTGGTCCCAGAAACACTAGTTGGTATCTGGCATCGCCCTCTACCATCTTTGAATGAGCAGTGAAGGTGACACCGTAGCTGATGCCTCTCATCAGAGGTGGACATATGTGATCCAGAAAGTAAAAATCCGGACCAAGATTTTGTTTCAACCAGTCCGTTCAGCAAAACAGCCTCTCTGTAACTGTGACTCTTTCAGGTTCCACCAACCAGCTGAGTATAATCTCAGTCTGGATTTTTACTTTCTGGATCTGAAATGTCCACCTCTACCCCTGATAGCCCTGTACTACTGGACTGTGGTGTTTTTCTTGTCGCTGGTACTGACGGTATTATTCTGTGTGCCCCCCCCCCCCCCCCCCCCCCCCCCACAGCTTGCCCGACGGGGCTTTGCCTTGGTCCTCATCAGCCGCTCCCAGGAGAAGTTGGATGACGTCTCAAAGTCGCTGGGTGAGTGCGCCCCCTGTCTGTGACCCTCTGGCGCCATCTCTCAGCATGCGATGGCTCCGTCTTTCTCCGTCTGCCCCTTCGCGTACGCTTTTCCAATGTGCCTATGATGCGCAATTTGGGCTCCATTCCCCCTTATTGAGTGGGTAGCTGCTGTTTCACTGGCTCGTGAAGTTCATTTTAACCCCCCTACCTCCACCGTGTATTACACACGAAGTCCCCATGGTCACAAAGATTATATAAAAAACTAAGGATATAGGTTATTCGACAGGCCTGAGGTCTGAGATTTGAGGAAGCTCATGGGGGAAGGTTAAAGTCGCTTAAATGTTCCCTAGATAGTAATTGGCGTGTGTGCGTGTGAGGTTCCGTGTTGAATCCGTGCACAGTTGCTCTCCATTCAGTGGCAGCCAGTCTGATGTTAATGAGCTTGGCTATTTTTAGCCTTGTGCTGAAAGTCAGGCTGCTGACGTTGTGATGGGGAGGGGCTTCTCAGGCAGAGCACTGTCCGGGGGGAGGTGGGGGGGGGG